CATCCAAAAAAAAAAAAAATCAAAATTAAAGGACTTCCTGAAAGCCACAGCCTACACAGGGCCAACCATGGAGTTTCGTTTCCATAACCTCTCAATCTCTACTGAGATGTGTTGACCTCAAGTGTTCAATAGCAGAAGTGTGTAACACCAAGGTTTTCTGCCTTTGTCTACTTTTGAAAATCAAGAGTTGGAAATTTCCTTTTCATAGTATTTACCTCACTTTATACTCTTACAAGAAATCATAAATCAGCAGCAGAAAATGGTGGATAAATAAGGATAGAAATCTGGATTCAGGAATCATCTAAGGGGAGATGATAAGTCAAAAGGACAGAATTAAGAGAATGAAACTAAGCAATGGGGCATGATAAACCTAAAATTATGATATCAGGGTGGAGCTAAGAGGTTAATAACAAGCTGGGAAGGAGTTGGCAAGAGAATTAAAGGAAAGTAGGCGAAATGAAGTGGCAATATAAACAGTTTTCTGGGGATGAGGTCAGAGTGCATCTACCCAGCTGTGAACAGTGTGATGAGAAAATATTAAGCTGAGTCATTTAAACAATCTGAATAATAATAGTAATAATAAAAATAAAATACTGTAGAAAGTATAATATGGGACAGTAATTGCCAATTGCTATGTAAATGCTGAAAGCAGTTTAGCTATTTATTTTCAAAGCTGGAAATGTAGTGCCAAATAACCAGTGAAGATCTAAACCATTTTCTACTTGACACTTGTGTAACTAAGACACAGTTGTTCACTGAGCTGTTATTGACCTGCTCCATCTTAATGGACTTTGGAAACTTTCAAATTTAAGCTACAACTTCTGCCAGAACACTGGGTTTTCTGTGTCCAGATGTAGTGGAAGCCTGAAAACCAGGTAAATTCTACTCTTTCTAATCTTACATATAAGATGACAGGTAGATCAAGATTGAATGTATGCATGTGCATACCTCATTACGGTTTTGATTTTTGTTGATTTTTATTTCCTACTAGTCATTACTTTAAACATTTTTTTCTAGGAGGAAGGTAGAAACATAAATGCTGATTATATTACATTATTGTGTTCAGGAGTACCAAAGTGTGCATTCTTAGTAAACCATTCTACCTTATGGAATGAGCCCCAGAGGAGATTTAGAGTTAAAGCTAGGTTTCAATTAAATATATGTATTAATGAAATTCTGAAATCTTAGCAGCTCACTTTCTTTATTGAATTAATAGCTCAGGTATAGGAATGTGAGAAACTCATAAACTTAAGACCTAGTGTTCAAAAGAAAAGTACTTTTATAACTCAGTGGGATGATTCCTCAAGCAAGATTGATTAGTTGATCAGATTTTAAATGAAACTATATTATAACAAGAAGGTAGGATTAAGGAATAGACTATAAATAAAATTATATTTCAAGAAATATTTAACTTAGGCATTACTTTTGCACTGGCATCACTAATGTGGAAGTGAGATCCTGAGGGAAAATTTGAATTAGTATTTCCCAAAATAAATTTTGCAGATGCTTGGCTAAAGTTGATATTGGCTGTGGGGCTGAGGGAGACAAAAGAAATCTGAACAGGACAGGTCCATCTGAGCTAAACAAGTGAGAACCAGACCAAGATACATCACTGGGATTTATTTGACCAAGTCTACGAGCACCTTGTATTTCTGCTCTTCAAAAGGTCTGCGATCTTGTAGTGACTGTTTCCACTACAGAATAGGAGCCTATAGAGTTACCACAATCTGATGTTCTGGTTTTGTACTTTTAATTTTATTAATACCTCTCTTTCATACTGGAATGTTAACAAGAAGAACAGATAAGCACTTTATAGGGAATGCGATCCTATAGGCATGGAAATTTCATCTGTTTTATAATTGTTCAAGTAGATAAACATGAGAAAGATATATATATATACATACATATATATATATATATATATATTTAAATTTTCCATGATGTTTACTATTTTTTTCCCCTTTAGAACGTGTTTTACCCACAATCCCCCACCCCATTCAAGGTCAGTATGATTTTTATCACTGTAGCTCTATTGATGGGTCATTCTCCAACATATGTAATGTGCAAAACATACAAAGGAGGGAAAGATGTCCATGTCATTCATGCACAAAATAATCTTTTCCTTAGACATTCAAAAGATAGTTCATCTATTGACTCCACCACTTGATAAGATTTGATAAGCATAACAAGTAGTTCATTTGCCCTAATTTCAAATCATTCCATAGCTAAAGATAATGCTAAACTCAGAGAGCAATTTTTTCTTCAATAAGCATTTATCATAGGTAACAATGCATTTATATATTTGGAACACAGCCATTTAAGTTCCCTAGCTTTAGAACCCACAAAAATACAAGTCCTCCCGCTAACCACTTTCACACCTAGAGACTTTTACTATATGAATTGAAGTCATTGATATTACTTGTAAAAATGAATTTATATGCTGCCAATGGTTAAACTCAATCAAATTACAAGGATACTATGTTTCCTTAAACTACTGACCAACTCCTGTGTTTTCTCTATTAAACATAACTAACTTTAGAAAACACAAATTAAAAAAACCAAAGTAATCACTCTGCTTTCCTTTTTTATAAAACTTCTACATACCGAAATTAAATTTTGCCTCCTACATCACATTTAGATGCAAGTTGCAGCCACAACTTTCTAGCTTAAGGCTATTTAAAGTCAAATTGGCAAATAAAATTAAAATAATACAAAAAAATCTGAAATGAAACCAATCTACCATTGAAATTAAATTCCAGAAAAGTGATTTGCAAATAGCACTCAAAGACCTGAGAAAAAATGAAAACTAGGCCATGCGGGGCCTTCTGTGGAAAAAATAAATTCAATTAAACAAGATTATCATGCACACTAAAAAGAAAATGTGCTCAGAATGGAAGGTAGAAAGCTCCTATTTTATAAGTTTGGAGATGGATTACATTTCATTAACACTTGTCCAAACCAAAAATTAGAGCAAAATTGGGTATAGATATTCAGAGTGTCAATAACTCAATGTTGTGCATACTTATGCATTCATATATATATGCAAACATATTTTAATTACATTTGAAATTAGTATTGCAAGGTTTTCAGGATCTATTTTTGAAGATCTATTCTATTAAGACAGCTTAATAAAAGAGTTATTCTTAAGTTTTAAGAAAAGTCTAAAATATCATTAGTATAAATGTTTAGAACTGCATTGAATAAAAAAAAACATTCTCTAACAACAACACTTGAACCTGTTTCTTATCCCAACCACTAAAAATAAAGCTGTTAAAAACATGTCTGTTTTTTTTCAACTTGACACAAAGCTAGTGTTCATGGGAAATAGCTCTTCTTGATGTCCTGACATTCTACAGTTACTTTAAGACATTTATCTTTTAGTGTTGCTGGTGAGATTGGCATCATTTTACCATGTGGCCATCTTTCAAGTATCTTGATATAGAAAAATACACACTTACTCATTTGTCCCAGTGAGTACAGTTTTCAAAGAGGTCATCCCCCATTCAAGATGACCCTCATACCACGTCACAATGACCCTAGGTAGTCTTTTGAGATGGGTTCTGTAGCCAAAATTCAAGTATTTATCTGATCATACATTATGATATATGTAACACTGAACACAGTAAAACCAAACACTATGCACAAAGGACAGCTGTCAGACACTGAAAAACAGTCTGGTCTAGGAATGGAGCACGCAGAGCATTTTGTTGAATTTTGTATTTTCCATAAACTGAACTGTTGATTGGAGAATGACCTAGTTAGATTTTATGTTGTAGGTAGACCGTACTTAGTTTTCTTAGATTTGATAGTTTTTAGACACTATAGTTGACCTTACTACTAATATTTTGGGCTTGTTAGTGAAAATTGAAAAGCTGTTCATTGAGACTTGGGATTGCTGGCGAGAGGCTGCTATAGAAAAATAGTCTACCAGACTGGGCGTGTAGCTCAGTGGCAAAGCACGTGCCCAGGGTCTGTGAGACTCTGAGTTCAACCCCCAGTGTGGGGGGAAAGGGGAGGTCCTCTCTTACATTTCTTGTTCGTTATAAGGATTCTAACTTCATAGAGATCTAGTCACTTTTCTAGAAGAGGAATCTTTTCAATCAAGAGGGCAAGCCATGTGAAATACAGATTCCTATAGAAAGAACAGCAAAGAGTAGAAAGCTCAATCTTTTTCAATGCAGATTTAGCACTCAAATGTCTATGAAAAGAATTAAATAACATACATTGTCATAAAATGTATAGAATCCTGAACTTCATCCCCAAAGTGTTAACATATCCTTAAGCAGCTGGTTGATACAAGTGGTCTGAAGAATTTTGAAATGACGGATTTCCTTAAGGTGTTTTGAAAGTAGAGAGTCACAAAGAACCTTTGCTGTCCACCTGCAATAAAAAAGGGAAAATTCTCTCCTGATCTCCAACCTAACAGAAATACACACTTCATGTCAGCTGCTCCACTGTTAACATGCTCAGTGCAGGGGCGGAGGGTCGTCCCTCCTGCCCCCACTCTTGGTGGTTCATCAAGCTGACTGGAGCTGCACTGAAAAGTCACAGCAGGAATTTCATCCTAAACCCCTTCAAGCTGTGATTAAACAAAAACAAGGCTCAAGAAATCAAATACATTTCTCTTGGGTTTCCTTCATCATATTGCTTGATTTTCTGCAGTGACAATAATAATACTGGAGTTACACCAAAGGGCAATGTGTACTGGCTGTGGCCAATTAGAAATTTTCAAATTTCCTTTCCCCCATGCCCCAAACAAAACAGACGAAACAATGAGTGTGCTTCCTTGCTTCTCAATTTTAAAGATATGTAAAAAAATAAGTAAAAGTAGTGTTCCATCCTTGATCTGTTTCTGATAGGTGTCTTTTCCCATTAATTTTAATTTAGGTTTATTTATTCTGAAATGAGCCCTGAGTTGCATATATTTGCATAAATACCTCTGACTATATTACTGCAGAAAATCCACTGAATTGTAAAATATGGAAAGAGTCAGCTCTTAGTGTCTGAAGGAAATTTTCTTGCTTTGTTTGGCTCCAATTTCCTGGGGCTCTGAATACAAGGCAACAATAACATTTCTTCCTATCAGCGTGTGCATAGTCTTCATGACAGAAGTGCACCTAGAGAACTCCCACGGAGAAGGACCACAAGTTCAGTCTGAGGTGAGAAAGCCAACCTTAGGGAGTTAAAATCAGTGAAGGAGAGGAAAAGGACAAGGACAAACCACCATTGTTTTGTGTACACAGCTCTCAAGCAAAAAATCCCCATGAGTTTGTAGCTCTCTGGGCTCCATCAGCCCATCTTTCTCTGATCACGGACTCTTAAAAAAAAAAGAAAAATTTTCTGGAAAGTATCTCACTTGTTTGCCTCCCATCTGATTATTTATCCCAAGCGAACAGCCTTTCCAATCACTAACCCTATGTGACAAGTGGGTCTGGGGAACATGGAGATTATCTTCCAGGTTCAGGCACTGCACTGGGTTTGTTCACAGCTGCTTACTATTCAGTCCCTGTTTTTCCATTGATAAAACACATTGCACATGGCTGGGTTTGCATGATTAATACAGCTGTCTAAAGCTTTCTCTCTCTCTCTCTCTCTCGGAAAACAAAACCCTCCAAAATTAAAGTTATTTTTTTAAAACTCTAACTCACAAACAAACCAAGCTTTTTTAAATCTGAAGTGAGTCTGGTGTATTTCCTTCCAAAGGAAGACTGGTGTCATTGTGGGCGGGCTTAGCATTAAAACAGTCAGAAGATGCTGGGGATTTAGCTCAGTGGTTCTGCCACCAGCTTCACAAGCACAATGACCTGAGTCCGATCCCCAGTACCAAAAAAAAAAAAAAAAAAAAAAAAG